CCCACAGGGCTGTTGGACTGAAGAGAGGTTGGAGGACACTTGCCTCAAAAGGCTCTAATGTTTGTTCTTTCATTCCTTAATTCTGCACTGCTCAAAGTTCCACCACTTCCCAAAAAGCACAGATCTCCAGCATCATATCCCAGGAAATAAGACAAACTCCCTCAGACAAATTTGAACAAACCCCAGCAGCAAGTGCTATTGTTTATAAATAGACTGCACTGAAAGAAGGGGAAGGAAATCATATTTCCCTTGTATGTCACTCTTAAAATCTACAGATTTACGAAAGCAAGAAAAAAAATTGGGGAATCAAAGTCCTAGTTAAACTTATTGACATGGACTCTTAAGAAGTACTACTGATATATAAAGCATGAAGGCACATTTCTGTATGTGTTATAGTTTCACAATGCACAATAATAACAGTTAAAAAAAAAAAAAAGACACCTGGGAGCAGTGGATCACACCTATAATCCCAGCACTCTGGAAGGCTGAGGCAGGAGGATAGCTTAAGGCCAGGAATTCTAAACCAATTGGTCAACATAGCAAGACCCTCTCTCTACAAAAGAAAAATCTTAAAATTGGCAGGACACAGTAGCATTCACACATGTAGTCCTAGCTACTCAGAAGGCTGAGGTTGGAAAATGGCTTTGGCCCAAAAATTCAAGACCACTGCAGTTAGCTGCGATTGCATCACTGTACTCCAGCCTGGATGACAGAGCAAGACTCTGTCCCAAAGAAAAAAAAAGAAGGTATACAAGTTCCCACCTTCTAATGGCTTTCAAATGCTTATTTAAAGGCATTCTCACTTGATAAATGTTACGTAGGCAAAAAGATAAAAATTTTAACTTCGCTTTCACATTTTCTATTAGCATCTCAATTTCCATTTTAAGAGTTAATATTAATCTCTTTGGTCATATGCTACACTAATTATTTAAAGAGTGACCATTTGTTATATAAAACCTGACTCATTAATTCTCCAGATCCACAAATAAGACATTAATAAGATAACCCTATTAAACACACCACAGATAGTAAGCAACTTGTGAAATCTGCTTGTAAGAAGTGATGACTAATTTCAGGGAGACCTTAACAAAGTTTCTCCTTTCCATCTGCTCAAATTCTTCCAACTTATCAGAAAGCATTTTCAGGACATTATGCCAGGACCAACCTCTTATTCACAGTGGAATTTTTATTAATTTTTTTAGCTGACATTTATTAACTCTGAAATATACATACAAGTTACAACAGATTAAGCCCCCTGTTGCCTCTAGTCCTCCAAGGAATTCCTCCCAGAAGCAGAAACAATGCTTTGGAGGGCTTCAAGATAGACCTCCAAAGAATATCTCAAAGGCAGACAGCTGTTCCAGGGTGGGAGAAACTGGAGCACCCTGAGCCAGCCCACTCTTGCCCCAGAGTCCAGCCAAGTGGTGGAAAACACAGAGCTGTGAGAGAAGAGGAAAAAAACAACAAAGCCTCCTCTCTGAAAAGCCACAAATAGATTGCTCTCAATCTAGAATGGTCTTTAAAAACACCTTGTTTACAAGGTGGACCTTCAAGCCTAGTGAAGTTTCCATATCAACTGAAACCAACTAAAATGGACAATTTAGAGGAACTCAATACCCATCTAAATAAATCATTCTACTAGACACCAAAAATGACATATACTGACCAACCAGCTTGGCAACTCAAGAATTCAGTACCCAAACTTGTCAAAGAAATAAACTGCAACTTCCTTTTGCTGTGTTTGGTGTTATCAAATTAAGAATAAGTTAGAAGTAGTGAAAATAAATAAAAGAATCAACTCAAGTTCTGGATGCTGGACTGCATAATCGTTTTCATTATAATATTTAGCTCTGAAATGAGCTCAAAGACATTCTGGGAAGGTATAAATCTCAAGTATTAAATGTTGCAGAAAAAAAAAAAACCACATTCATTATGGCTTCAGAATAAAAGTTCCTTAAAGAAAAGTCGTAAGCTAAGGTACCAGAGAGCTACATGCTCTATACCAGGGGTACCCAACTCCAGGACTGTGGACTTGTTAGGAACCAGGCCACACAGCAGGAGGTGAGTGGCATAGCAGGCCAGCAAGCTTACCTGCCTGAGCTCCACCTCCTGTCAGATCAGCAGCAACATTAGATTCTCACAGGAGCATGACCCTTATTGTGAACTGCCCATGTGAGGGATCTAGGTCACATGGTCCTTATGAGAATCTAATGCCTGATGATCTAAGGTGGAGGAGTTTCATCCCCAAACCATCCCCCGAAACCCTATACTCCCCATAACCACACCCCCATCTGTGGAAAAACTGTCTTCCACGAAACCAGTCCCTGGTGCCAAAAAGGCTGAGGACCACTGCTCTATATTTTACATCAGGTCTTTCGATAAGCAGACGGCAGCCTAAATAGTAGGCAACTGATTCCTAAGAGACAAGACAACATAGTGGCTGAGAGCCTGGACTCCAAAGGATACCTGTTCAAATCTCAGCTTACAGCTATGTGACCTTGGGCAAACTAATCTCTCGGTGACTCAGTTCCCTCGCCCACTGTGTGGTGGTTATGGGAATTAAGTTTACCATGTAAGATACGAAGGCTAATATGACACACATAATAATTCAGCTTACATGGGGCTCTTATAATGTCTATCTGCTTGGGGATTCAGTGGCCCTCCAAGCACTAAAACAAAGAATACCTTCTTTCTGCAGTGAAAATCCAGTACAGAAAATCTGAGAAGGGCAATCTTAAATAAAAAATGCTCCACCTCCCAGTACAATACCAACAGCCTTCTCTTCCAGCAGCCACTGTCACCTTTCATCAAAGGCTTTACACTTAAAGCAGAACTTCAGCCTCTCATTGAGGACTAAGTATGGATATTGCAATATTGAAATTAACTTTGCCTAAGATTTCCCAGTAACTGAATGAGTCACTCGTGTCTTTAGAAACAGAGAAAATGTCAAGGTTGCCAGAAAACCCCGGTCCAGATGTTTGCATAAATCACTTTCAAGTGATCAAGCCAAAGCCAAAGGACATTATTTAAGGTAACACTAAGTAGAATATATCACTTTTTATCATTTTCCTGTAATGAAGAAAGTTCTGAAAATGAGGTTACAGTAATTTCAACCAAAAATTACACAACAAAACCAATCTAAGCTTAAAATTCCTTACCTTTTTCCAACCTCATCAAGAAGTACTAGACAAGCTCTGAGCTCAAGATTTAAAGATGCCCATAGTGCTTGTTTCTATTTTCTCTGTCATATTTCCTAGGGGAAGCAGAGGCTTTTAAAATTTTGATACATTCTCTGCAGTAAGATTTTTAATATCTCTCACCAACAAAACATGTTGAGTGCTCTGTATTGATGATAGCATCCATAAAAGGTCTTTTTTCACTTTCAAAATAATTCCAGTAAAGTTTGTTCTTTAATCTCAAATTCAAGCCATCTGCTCTAGCTTAATAGAATAAAATGGCAAGGATATTCTTTGGTCATTTACACTGTCACAAAAGATAAAAAATACTATGTCAACTTCACGGCCTGGCTTCTCTTTCTCCTAAGTATGGTAGGAATAGTTAGATCGTCCTGTTGTCAGGGTTTGAGTTCTTCAGGCGCATTTGTTACAGAGCACACTACACAATACTCAGTTTCACTGAAATTTCTTAAGTGCACAGGTTATTGGTAAATAACTTGCAACTGAAGTCGCACATGCCGCGAGGTGGGTACCCTTCCAAAGGAAACAGACTGTGTCCGTTTTGCTTATTTTTGGTAACTTTAAATAAGATTTTGGATGGTTCATCTTCTCAACTCATTTACCAATTTAACCACTGGGCGGAGGAGTGAGCGCCCCACAGCTTTCGGCCGAAGTATAACAGGCGCTTCCCCACTCAGTTCCCCATGTCTGCTACAAACAAACCAGATGTAATAGCTGAGGAATGACGACACTAAAATCAACAGATCCACTTCTAAAAGGGCCGCAACACGAAATAAACTTCTCTATCTTCAGAAGCAGTGGGGAAGGGGTTAAAAAGCCTAGGTGGGGTCGGTTTGGTCCATTTCCGCGACTGCGTGCGCGCAGGGGGAGTCTGGGCTACCTTGGGCGGCTTAACCCTGTAAGAACCGAGAACGACCCCACCGCGATACTCGATGCCCGAGCTGGCGGGGGCCGCCTCATACCGTGCCCGTACCCCCGACAGCAGGTGCCCGAGGCCACCCCAACAGGCCGGGTGCGAGTGCCGAAACATGGCCACTACCCCAGGCGCTACGCCGCCGTCGCACGCCGCCCGGCACTTTGTTAAGTCAGCGCGCCCGGGCGAGGTGGCTCCGGGAGGTGGTCATTGACGTCCGAGACCTACAGAGGCCGGGCTGGAGACGGCTGGGACCCTCCTCCGGCTCGGCCTCGCCCAGCCCGGGTGTGGGGCCGCGGCGGGAGGGAGAGGTCGGGGAGCAGCTGGTAACCAGGAGCCTGCACGCCTGGCACCTCGGAACCCCGCGCCCCGTTCCCAGGCGCTTACCTGAGGAAAGGAGCCCTCGCGGCGCGGGTTCCTGGGGTAGTCTAAGTGACCCCGGTCCAGCATCAGGTAGAGCGAGAAAATCACCACACAGAAGATCGCACTGCCGAACACGGTGAACTGGCGGCTTAACTTCATTTTCCTCGATAGACTCGGGGCTAGGACACTGTCCTCAGCCGGAGGAGACGCGGACTATGGACTCCAGGAAGCAGCCGCCGTAGGCTCCCTTCTCCCGGGCTGCGCGCCTTCCGCGCTCTGGGCTGCCGGTGCGAGTCCCGGCCGCGCTCCGCACTTCGTCTCCGGCGCCACCACACGCTCTTGGCCTTCCCCCTGGCCTGCCGCCCTCCCCGGGACCGGGCGTCCCTTTCGAGTCGAGACTCGCTGGCAGCTGGGAAGGGGCCCCCACAAACTTGATCGCAAGCTCAGCGCTGACCCCCGGCAGGGCGCACGGGGCAGGCGTAGGAGAGGTCGCTGCCCACACTTCCTGCCACCGCCGCCCCGACTGAGTCGGCAGGAAAAGTTTTCTCGACGAGGGCAGACGTGTCCTCCTCACCCAGGGGAGGCGCGGGTTCTGCAGCTCCCCGGCCGGAGCTGCGCAGCTAGGTCAGAGGAGCCGAGGAGGAAAGAACAGGGTCGCAAGGAGCCTGGCCCTACAACTTCTAGCCGGGACGGCGGGGCCCGCCCCCGCGGCACCGCCCCCGCCTCCCCCGCCTGAGTCCCTTCCTGCCGCCGCCGCCACCGCCACGGCCGGACCTGTGTGCACCCTGGGCTCCGGGACGCAGGGATCGAGGAGTTTCCTCAGAGCTAGCGTCCGCTCGCCAGCCTCTTCAGCCCCTCGCCGCCCCTACCTTTCCCCTCCCGGACCCGGGCTGCGCTGGGAGGCGCAGGGGCGGGCGGCGGCAATGCGCGGAGGAGGAAAAGGAGAGCAGGAAGGAAAAGACCGTCCCCGGAGAGAAGCCCGCTCCAGCTGCAGCCGCGAGCCCCCTCCCTTTTTCCCGCCCCACAAACGCGGAGATGGCGGCGGCAGCGGCGAAAGGAAGCGCTGGTTCTCCAGCGCCACTTGGCGCCCCAGCACCGACCGCCACAAGCCGGAGGAGACAGAGGCGGCGCAGCGGCCGCTGGGTCAATAGGCGCCCGCAGCTCCGGAGCCGAGCAGGCGGCTGACCCCGCCCCCTCCCGATGTGCCGAGATGAGGGGGCGGGCCCCCCGGCGCCCAATCACAGTGCACCGCCCGCCGGGCCCGCCCCGCGCCTGCCTCCCAGTGTCCCATCAGTAGGAAGACCTCACAAGGCTTTTTTGACCTGACAGGCAGCTTTCTGGGAGTTGAGGCCTTGGGGACATTCAGGCGCCAGCACTCCACTCCCAACGGGGGTTAAGCTTATACCCCACTTCCTTTTGTTGTCCAGGTTTCCTATGCTAGGACACTCGGGCCCGGCGTGCCTGAAAGAGTACTTGGTGAAAGGCTGGAGGAAATGCAAGAGAAGAGGGCTGCACATTCTGTTCTGGCTATTTCCAACTTTGGTGACAGCCTGTTGAAACCTGGGGAAACAAGTCTGACAAAGGGCCCTCCAGGCAGACGTAGACAACTGACTGCGAAATCCATGAGTGTAATCTGAGAAGTGATGCTTGTGCCAGTTATTGATTTATTGCCTCTCAGCTCCAAATTCACCCTTTTTGACTGCACTGTGAAAATGGATCTGAGCCTTTTAAACAGTTTTTCCGTTTGCCTTCTGGGACTGAAGCTTTGTCAGTAGAGGGCGCTAAAGAGACATTACAAAAAAAAGGATTTTGCTTCCAGATTTCGATGTATTGATAGCCTTTTGCAGCATACCTGACTTTCTCCAGTGCCAAGGTCCTACAGTGCTCAGTAACTAGCAGTTTCTTCCCGCATGCCCAACTCTAGGAGCTTTGTAGAGGAGGTAAGACGCTACCCCATAACTTCTCTGGCACCCTAGAGGCATTTGTGACAAGTTGCAGAGGGCACATCTTCCACTAGTTTGCAGATGTAGCCCAATGGTGACTTCTCTGCCATTCAATGAGCCAGGTCGTGCACTCTCCGAAAGGGTCTAGATCTTAGCCCTGGGAGGAATTGGGGAGATTCTTCATTGGGCACTCTGTCTCTCAGCCCAAGTGTTAGTTATAAGGTCAGCTCCTTATAGCTGCTATTTCTATATTCTTTAAGATTCTCTTCTTGCTAGTGAATCCCTTGTTACTCTAATCCTCTATTATAGTTAATAATTCCTTTTATTAAGCCTTCCCTGTCCCAGGAGTAGTCCCAATAAATAGATCTGCAAAGACGGGATTAGAGGTCAGTTTGATTGAGGTTTTGAGCTTGAACTCCTTGCCAAAGGGAAATATAATTCATGGCATGCTGGGCATCTCAAGCAATTATCTGTGGTTGATTCCGATGAAGTGCCAACTGAAGCATGTGCCCTGGGGGCCCAAATGGCTGCTACACTTGACTGCTATGGTTATAAAGGTGACTAGAAAGACTATGGTGTGGGATGGATTCTTTTGAGTGCTTTTGAATGGTTATAAAGAGAAATGACAAGCACAGGTTTGTTAACTCTCAGAGTTATGGTATGAGAACCAGAGATATTCTGTAGAATTCTAAAATCTCTGGTTTATTGTAGCAACAAGAATGATGCTGAAAATCAAACACAAAACTTTAATTTTCATGTTATGTTACTGAATTATAACCACTATTAAATTCACACACATTCTGAGTTTCTCATGTAAAAGGATGTTATTTTTTTAATAGGATTTCAATACTTAAAATGGGTTGGACTCAGATGAAACTGACAGTGTTAAGCACTCAAACTCACTCATTCTCTTATCAGTGGAAGTAGGTTGCCCTCCAGTGTCTAAAGAAACTAGCCTTCCTCTGCTTGAAAACCTTGACTATAGAAGACGACACTAATTAGATGGGCTCCCTGATTTCAATGGGGATGACAGGATCTCAGAATAGCAGAGTCCAGGAAGCACATAACCAACAAAGACAAGGTGGGCACATCAACCTTAAAGGTCAGCAGGAAATCAGACTGCCTTGGCTTATGGAGATGCTCTGGAAACAAAGTAGGTAGGCAGTTGAAATAGGTTATTGCTTGATATTTATAACAGGTAAAGCTCTAGGTCGGGTAGCCAAAACCTGACTTGAATCACCACAGTGGATAGTCACAGTCTCTCAGTTCTCAGACCTAAGTCAATTCACAGACCCATAGTCCCTTGGTTGAAGGAGAATCTGTGTCCCCGTTAAGAAGGACCTTGTACTTTCCCATAGTACACATGGCAGATTCTTTCACGCTTTCCCCAAAATGACATGTGGCCATTTACTAGTGACTCTGCATTGTTAAAAAGGAAATACACAGATCATTTGAGTTTTACTAGACACTGGCTCTGAATTGATACTAATTCCTGGGGATAGAAACCACCGTTAGTCCACATACCAACTATGTGGCTACTTTCCCAGTGTAATTAGAATATGTATTAATGGCATAATTTTAATGGCAAAAACAGTAATTACTTTTGCACCAACCTAATAATTGAAATAGGCATACTTAGCAACTAACAGGATCCCCACATTGGGATTTAGCCATAGAATGAGGGCCATCATTAGGGAGAGCTAAGTGGAAGCTCCAGGAGCTTATTGATTAATTATAAACTTAATCCGGAAGTGATTCCAATTGCTTCTGCTGTCTCAAATGTATTATTTTTACTGGAACCAATCAAGATAGCACTTGACACTGGTATATAGCTATTGATGTGGCGAATGCTGTTTTCTTTATACCTGTTTGTAAAACCAGCAGAAGCAGTTGGCTTACACAGTATCATCTTGGGGGTATATCAACTGACATTAATATAGTCCACAGAGTTGTTGATTGTCTTGACATGCCATAAAATATCACACTGGTCCACTACATTGACAACATTATGCTGACTGGACCTGAGGAGCAGGAATTAGCAAGTATTTGGGGTGTCTTATTAATATGTATTTGAACTAGAGAGAAGGAGATAATGATCTTGAGTATGAGATGACAACTCTAAAGTGGTCACTTCAGATGTGGGATATGTTCTATTATGGTACAAGCTATATGAGGACAAAACCACTGAGTCACTGAGAGATGAATCCAAACAGATGCTGTGGGTTAGCAATGGTTAGGATTGGGGGAAAAAGTGATTGCTTAATGAACTGGCCATACCAATCATGTGGCCACGGAAGGAAAGTGGTATAGGCTGAATGTATCTCTTTAAAATACACATGATGAAGTCCCAACCCCCAGTATCTCAGAGTATAATAGTATATAGAGATAAGGTCTTTAAAGAGGAGATTAAGTTTAAAAGGCGATTAAGTTAAAATGAAGCTGTTAGTGAGGCCCTAATCCAATCTGACTGGTGTCCTTATAAGAAGAGAGAGACACCAGGGATACATGCACACAGAGAAAAGACTATGTGAGGACAGACTGGGATGGCATGCCAAGGAGAGAGACCTCAGGAGAAACCACACCTGCTGACACTTTGATCTTGGACTTCCAGCCTCCAAACTGAGAAAATAAATTTCTGTTGTTTAAGTCACCCAGTCTGTGGCATTTTGTTATGCCATCCCTAGCCAACGTATACAGAAGGCAACCACCCAATTGATAGAGATTAGGTAGGTGCAAAAGTATTTGCAGTTTTTGCAGGTAATGGAAAATGTGGTTTTTATTAAAGGTAATGGCAAAAAAAAGAACACTAAATTTACTTTTGCACCAACCTAATATTTGCAAAATGTATATTTGCAAACCATGGAACCATTGCTAACCCACACCATCTGTTTGGATTCATCTCTCAATAACTCAGTGGTTTTGTCCTCATATAGCTTGTATCATCCTAGAACATACACATAGATGGGACTAATATCCAAAATATATATAATGAGCCCACATAATTCAATAACAAATAAATAAACAGCACAATTTTAAAATGAACAAAGGACCTGTATTTTTTCAAAGAAGACATACAAATGGCCAACGACTAATATTAAAATGTGCTCTAGGTTGGGCACAGTGGCTCATTCCTGTAATCCCAGCAGTTTGAGAGGCTGAGGCTGGCAGATCACTGGTGAAACCCCTTTTCTACTAAAAATACAAAAATTAGTCATGTGTGGTGGGAGGTGCCTGTAATCCCAGCTACTGTGGAGGCTGAGGCAGGAGACTCTCTTGAACCAGGAAGCAGAGGTTGCAGTCAGCAGAGGTTGCACTGCTGAACTCCAGCTTGGGCGACACAGCAAGACTCCATCTCAAAAAACAAAACAAAACAAAACAAAAGTTCTCTAATCACCAGCCAAATGCAAATGAAAGCCACAATGAGATATTACCTGACACCTGTTAGAATGGCTATTAGAAACATGTCAAATAGTAACAAGATTTGACCAGGAAATGGAGAAAATAAATGCTCGTAAACTATTTGTAGTATTATAGACTGGTAACCCATTGTGGAAAACAGTATGAAGGTGTTTTAAAAAATTAAAAATAGAACTACCATATTATCCAGCAATCCCACTATTGGGTATATATCCAAAGCAACTTCTCTTTTTGAGAAAATAAATTTGGATCATCTTGACCATTTATTTACTTTACTGAAATAAGATTTTACTATCACTTATGAAAAAACTGTATGTTTTCCTGTTGTTACTAACATACGAGTCTTTCTGTCTCCGAGAGCTGATAATAGCCATTCCAAGAGATGTGAGGTGATATCTCATTAGATAGCTTTGTTATGCCATCCCTAGCATTTTCTTTACAGAATTATTCACAATAGCCAAGATATGGAATAAATCTAAGTGTCCATCAACCAATGAATGAATAAAGAAAATGTGGTCTATATAAACAACGGAATAGCATTCATCCTTCAAAAAGGAAGGAAATCCTATCATGTACAACAACATAGATGAACCTGGGAAACATTAAGTGATATAAGCCAGACTCAGGAAGACAAATACCACATGATCTTGAGGGAATGTATTAAACTTCTCTTGCCGGGTCCACAAGGGGCACGGTTTCAAAGACAAGAACTTCCCAGTGACATGCCTGACCTGTTTTCTCTCATGTCTCCATCCTCTCCATCCAGGAGCCTAGAGTTCTTTGTCTAACTTGCTCGTGTGCAGGAAAGGTAGACTGCCCAGGTGAGCTCCCTTTGCTTAGAAAGCCCAAGAAAAGCTATGGGAGGACTGTGGGCCAGGCAACCAATCCAGCATCAGAGTCAAAAATCAATCACTCCAGTGGAAGTTTGGAGGAACTCCTCTCTTGTGACAAGAACTTGAACGGGGTGGGAGTAACTCCCAGATAAAAAGACCCCCTGCCCCTGACCTGTGTGGACTCCACCTCTGGATCCCCTCCCGCAACAGCCTCTCTCTTTCTCCCTACTTTTCTTTCTTTCTCTCTCTCTCTCTGTCTAATAAATCGCTTTTCTGCAAAACTCTTTGGGTCTAATATTTACTTGAATGAGTCCACCGTACCTCCAGGCCTCTTCCCCCATTCCTAGGACAGGATGGTCAAGAACCTGGAACACCCAGTTACAATCTCACTTATGATGGTATGTGGAATCTAAAGAAGTCAAACCCAAACAAATAGAGAGTTGTATGGTGGTTGCCAGGGGCTGGGAAGTGGAGTAAATGGGTGAATTTTGGTCTAAGTGTATAAACCTTGAGTTACTAGATGAACAAATTCTGGAGATCTAACATACAGCATGGTGACTATAGTTAATGATACTGTGTGGTGTACTAAATATTTACTAAGAGAGGAGATCTTAAGTGTTTTCACCATCCGCAAAATAATAGTAATTATGTGAGGTGATGGACACTTTAATAAGCTTACTTGTGGTAATCACTTTATAATGTGTACATGTATCCGAACTTCATGTCGTACACCTTAAATACATACAAATTTTATTTGTCAATAATACCTCAATAAGGATGGAGAATAGATACACTGATTGATAACTGATAGATAAATTGAAGATAGGATAGATAGATAAATCAAAAATAGGATGGATAGATTAATAGATTAGATAGATGATGGATGTACGGATGGATGGATGGATAGATAGACAGACAGACAGACAGATAGATACATAGATACATAGATAGACACTCTGGTTTCCCCAGGACCTTCAGAACAAACCTAGATGCCTATCCTGGGATACAATGTTTTCATTTGGGAAAAATATGAGAAATTTTATTATCCCTTTGGATCAGAGCAATTATCTCTCTGTCTTTAGGGAAACAAATTGCGACAGATTTAATACTTATGCTAGAAGAAAATTTTCTAGCAAAAGCGGAAGCAACCATTCGCTATAGTGTACATGTTTCTGTGGCTCAGGAGGCTAGAGCTTTTTGTAGGAACACTGAAAATAGAAAGAAGGGAAGGTACATGAAGGCAGAGCCCAAATCATAAAGGTTCAAGTCTAATTGCTTCTCCATTACATAAAGTTTTTGTGACTTTGGGGAAGTTACATAATATCTCTAAGCCTCCACTTTCCAACATATTATATTGGGGTAGTAACAGTGATCTCTCGGCCTTGCTGTATAATTACCACAAGTAGTGATATATTGGGAGAGCATTCCCCAGATACTTCCATTTACTCTGGGAAAGACAAAGATGGATGCAGTTGAGAGGTGAATAGGGGAGAGAACATTTGAATAGCTGCTGTGGGATATGGAGAAGGAAGTCCACATAGATCATTGGACAGCACTGATTTGTTATGGAGCAAGTTCACCATTTTCTCCCTTGTCATTGATCGATGGCTTTAGAGCTCAATGAAAGCATACTGTGAGGATAATCCAGGAAGAGCCCCTCTACCAGGATGCAAGAACAACAGCCACCCACGGAATGCTTCAGGTTGGGAGCATATCATAGATATCTGTCATTTTTCCTACCCACTGAAATACATTTTTACAGTGAAGATTAAGTTAAAATGAACAATCAATGTAATTTTGAATAGGAAATGTCTCAAAGAAATGCATGGGGTGAGGGTTCTGAAGGCATGAGGTATAGCCCCATACGTCTGGTGATAAGTCTATATATGCTAAAGAGCCTCAGCTTATATTTGCTAACAATAGGAAAATCTGTCTTTTCTGTCCACTGATACTCCAAGTCTGTCTGAGCTCCTCAAAGGCCTAATCAGCTCATATCTAAGGGGGAAAAATTGGAAGGCAATAGGATAAAGTTCTAAATCCTAGGAACTTGAGAAAATTTTATAATTGTGATTGCATTATAAATGAATGAGAAGTTTAGTCCTTTTCTCCACCCTACCTATTGCAAAAGTCACTCTGTCAAAACCCTGAGCATCCTTACACATTCTTCCTGGGTATGGTAAGAATGCAAGGCCCTGACCATTATTTACTTGTGTTCTCTCAGGGTTGTGTTTGCAGGGAGCAGCCTTGAGCAATCGAGTAGTGTCTTCTCCCAATGACCAGACTGACCACATACCTTAAAGCAGTAAATTCCCTTGCTGTGACATAAATCCACCGTGTATGTTGCCTTGAGCTGGACCCTTCACCTCAGACCCTGTGAGGTCTGGGGGACATGAGAAACTAGCACCGACATCAGGCTCCTGCAGCTTTAACATCTTCCTTTGTCTCTAATCTGAGTGTCTTGTGTTTTCCACTGATATCCACGAAACAGTAGTGAGCCCCAGACCTTTTACAGATCTTGAAATCAGCCACCTTCCTAACAGATTATCGATATTGTTGGCATAATCTGTATCTTCCTGTGCCTTTCTTCCTATGAAAGGAAGCTGCAAGAGAGGATGAGTCAAGTAGCATAATACACTGCTGAGAGAGATATAAGAAGATAAGAGAAGAGCAGGAAGAGGACTTTATTTTCTTTATAATCCTTCTCATTATTTGAAATTATGTATTGACTTATTTGATGTGTATCCTCTCAATAGAATGCAAGTTCCTTCAAGTCAGGTACCTTGTGATTCAACATTATATCTTGCTGAGTAAAATCGTGTCTAGCAATATTGAGGCCTAATAAATATTTGTTGAATGAGTGAATAATCATTTTGGTCCTGAGCTACCAGTTGAGGTGGATTGGTGGTGCCCATTATAAGTGGCCCTGGCTGGTAATAGATGTCTGTTTGCTCTTGAGCTGCATTTAAAGCCATTCCTCTTGTCTTTGTGAGTCACCACCAAATCTTTATATTCCTATAAAGTGAGCTTTTTAAAAATAAAAAGCCCTTTAAAGAGAATTTCTCTGCCAAATTATTTTACTAATCATCCTGATCACTAAAGGATGCCCAATACAGGGATAGAAAGAAATGAACACCATATAATGCATCTATGCTCACTGCTTTACTTACGTTGTCTCATTTAATTAGCACAAGTCTGCAAGATTAGTACATTAACACCTATTTTACATATAAAGAGACTTAGATACAGAGAAGTTAAATAAGTTGCTTTAGAATAGTTAGCTACTAAATGGTATAGCTTGGTTTTTCTGGTTTCAAAACTCCTCTTTGGATACAGCATTCTCTAGAATTATGATTTTAGACCTTGTATTATGACAAATAGATTTTTGAAAATAATATTTAGGAAGTGTATTGCTCAGATTAAGTGTAAAAATTAGACATCATTCTAGGTATTTTAAGCAAGAAGTTATTTAGTAGAGGATGCTTATAAAAATCTATGTCAGGATTGAAGAAGTGGGCTCTAAACCAACTTTCCAAAAATGATTCCCAGTATAAAACCAAGCTGACCCCAAGCTAGTACCTCTGAAGTCTACTGGAACACTGAGTTCAAGCACATAACCCTGTGGCAGAAGGTGGAGTCAAAAACCTACCACTGTCACAACAGCCTCAGCTGTGTATTGTCTTCCAGGAGGCTAAATAATGGACCGTGGAACACTGCTGCAGAAAAATATTTCTATGACCTTAATGCTAAGAGAAATGCAACCAAAAGTGGTCAGGAGGATGCCTTAACTTCTTTTCTGTTAAGTTTTACATGAGCTTATCTAATTGATAGACCTAATTCATATCACAGCTCTACGTGCAAAGAAGTCTAGGAAATGTTTTAAGTTTCCAGTCTCTGCAGTATAAAAGCCACCACAAAAAGAGAGGAGAATGGACAATGAGTGAGCCAGCCTGCAGTACTTACCACAGGCAGTATTTGTAGAAATACAAATACTTTTAAAGAGAGAATGGAATAAAATGTTTAAAACGTCTCTTTCCAGAAAAGCCTATAATATCTAATATATGCTTACTTATTTGAACTCTGAACTCTTGACATTGCAATCTTTATGGCTATGATTTGTCCTGGGGAAAATATTCTCTATGTACAGTATAATTAGGGATAATAATATGTCTAAATGTGCACTTATCAGGGATGAGAAAATTATTTGTGCTGTAGGATCATCACTTTCATTTTTCTACAGCCCTTTGTTTGCTGTCACTGTAATTGGCCTAATTTGGGGGAAGAGGAGGCCTATTTCCAGCAGGAACGAGGCCTTTCTCTGGACTCTCTCTGACTATGATTTTTTATATGCCACACAATACTCAAATAGGAAAGGCTTAACAACTCTTTAAAGCTTCAAAGACTCTTAGAACATCCAAACATTTTACATGGAGACTCAAGAAAGGCAAAAAGATTTGCCTGAGGTCTCAGGGAGACTAGGCTAGAGCCCAGTTCTCTGGTTCCCTGTCTAAAGCTTTTTCATCACTAAACCAAGCCTTAGATTGTATGCTATCTAAACACAGAATGGGGTGTGTGTGTGTGTGTGTGTGTGTGAGAGAGAGAGATTCCATTTATATCAAGTTCAATAACAGGCAAAATAAGCTGTATCTTTAGAGAAGTATACTTACACGTAAAGCATGAAGGAAAGCAACAAAACACTAAGCATCAATGTCTAGTTCGTGGTGGAGGAAAGGAATTGTGTGGGAAATGGAGACTTCAAGGGTGAGGGCAAGCAGGGCTCAGTGGTACATGCCTATAGTCCTAGCTGCATGGGAGGATGAGGCAGAAGGATCACTAGAGCCCAAAAATTCTAGTCCAGCTTGAGAAACAGACCAAGACCCCATCTCTAAAAAGACCTTGTTTTTTTAAATTCTAAAGGGGGTAATGGAAATGTTCCAGGAAATTCAGTTTTGTAGGACTTAAGCTTTTTTTCCTAATTTTGAAACCCAGTGTAACATATTTGACATTTTTGCCTTTACTAATACTTAGTTTTAGTACCTATTGTATGAGAGAGCCAGGCTAAATGCTGGATTATTTTCTTTAACTCTAATAAGAATACTCTAATATAAGCACTATTATTATCCCCATTTTGTAGTTGAGAAGACTAAGGCACAGCTTTTACTAACTTGCCCAAATTCACACAGTTCAATAGCAGAGCTGATATTGAATCTATCTGATTCTACCCTTCTGCTCTGCTAGCCAAAATAAATTTAGTAAGTGAGAAAATTATAGACCCCTTTTTTAT